ATTTCCATTAATGGATAGTCAAGATAGTTTTTAATAGACTGAAGAAATTTAAGGGCTTTTTATTGAGTATATTAATGAAGAAGCAGCTATGATTGAAAATTACAGGCAATTATTTTGAAAATATGAATGCAGTGACAGAGAAACATTGAACTATTTCTTCCGATATTTTTTCGGATAGTATTATTTACAGAAATCTCATTATAGAAAACATAAGAGCGAGTATACAGTAACATTATTTGCCTCTCTTCTTTTACAGAATCTTACATTTTTATTGCAATGACCATGTCATTTCCAATCAGGCAGCTCATCCAAACATGAGGACCTATTATTTCTGCACAGATACAGGGAAGGAAATGGAGTTGTGGATGAAAGCCATGACAGATGCAGCACTTGTGCAAACAGAGCCTGTGAAAAGGTAATGTGGATTTTCAAAATAGTGGCACAGTGTATATCTTCCTCATATTTAGTTTGATTTATTTAAATGAAAGGGCATACCTTAAAACAGAACGTAAATTGGCTGAAGTAATTTCTCCTTATATTGAATAACCCTTACTAATTTAACAATGTTGGATAAAATTTTGAAGTAGTAAAAATAATCTTAAGTTCTGTTCTGAATACGGATGCCTTGAGAGTAAAGGGCTAGAGGACAAAAACTTGACTAGCTCCTTTAGCCAGCAGCATCAAAAGAAGTGCAGTGGCAAGTACTATGTACAGGCATGTTAGACTTCCCCTGCCCTCCTGACTGAACAGCAATAGCAGCTCAACTGGTGGTAGTCTTTGGCTTAAACTTGTCATAAGTCTCAAGTTCACAACCATAGTTTCTGGCTAAATTAAACAGTTGCACCTATGGGCAACTTGTGGGGAGTCATTCTTGTTCATCATTAAGCTGTCATCAAATTTATACTTACCTGATCTGGATATCCTTTATGTATCCATGTGTTGACAATGAAAAGCAAGTTATCACTGGAAGCCTTGTGTTCTCAGAAACTGAATATTGTCTGTTGCTATCTATCCAGTAAGAGTCATTTTCTCTCTGAATGTTGTCCTTTGGGTTGCTTCATGTCATCTATAATGGAAACCCCATCAATGGAAAACTTAAAAGCTCCTCGTTATTGATGGCACAGAACTTATTGCTGATGGCTGCTGTCACTTGATCTACTTCTGCACTCTGTTAGTTCCTGCTACACTGGAGCTAAATGAATGGCAGACAATCCTGAGAAATTTTAAGTTTAAAAAAAAAAAAGAAAGAAAAAAAGGTAAAAAAATTCCTTAGATACAGATACCAAACAAGGAAAAGGTACAATTTTTGTGGAAGAGTAAGCACATTGAACTTGTTGTCAAAATACAAGCAGTCTTTCTGAATTTTGCATCACTAGTACAATTCATTCCTGTTAACTTGTTCCTCACATTTCTATATCCCATGTTTCAGCATGATGCTGGCAGAAGCACAAAATGGAATGCAGAATGACTAGACACTTTTAGTCTTAACGTGTGTTAATGTTTTGTGAGCTTCTCAGTCAAACGCAGTGAAACTTTTACTTACACCAATCTATGGGATATTCAGAAGGATAACTGTAAACTCAGAACACTTTTAAATTTGTACCTGTGCAACCGTTTAGCGACTAATCTTAAACAAAAGGTTGAAATCTTAGCTTTCGTCTCTAATAGCCTTTAAGTATATAGATAATATATGAAGTATTCCATTCTTTGCATTGGACAGCATAGTAAAATAGCTTCATAGAAAAATACATTGTTCTCCGTACAATGGAAAAATAACACATGTGCTTCAAGCTCTCAGCTGTCATGTTTGTTTTTCCCAAAATTACTGGAAATAAAAGATTTCATCTTGTAGAAAGGAGGAGTGGTAGGTCCAATTACCACAATGAAATTTGATCCGATTATGTATTATTTCATATTATATATGAAGACGTTATGTTCTTTGTCTCCTATAACCCTCTTCTTGTTTGGGAACAATAGATGATATGGGGGATGAGCAGAGTGAGATAGAATATAAGCAAGTAGATACTTAATAGCATTTTCACCTTTTAATTTCTTCGTTCAGAGTTTTTAAGAGATTGCACTTAAAAGAATGGTGTTACCTTGTCAAAATAAAATATATCATTTAGCTTAGTGAATAATAAACTTAATCTGAAAAATCAGTTTTGGTTCGCATTGTAAGTGTATTGCAGATAGCTGTGGTAGCTTACAGATGGAGAAATGATTAAACCAAATCAGACCCACTCAACTTCAAACAAAAATCATGTATCGATTGTATAAGCACTTCGTAGGGGGAATAATACTGAGGTGGGCATTCTGAATCTCTTTGAACCGGTGAAATGACCTTCATTTGGTGTTTGCAATACTGTGAAGATTGAACATTTGAAGAGGACATCTTTCTAGTAGAAAAAAATGAATGTGAAAAAAGTACATCTCCATCTGACAAAGCCTCCTTAATAAGTGTCTCCATAGTCTCTCCTGTTAATAGTGAATGCTCTATAGAAGATTATTTGGTACACCTAATTATATAGACAGTTGTTACATTATTAGTTGTGACATTTCTTTTAACATAAGAAGCAATCCAAAATGGTAATGTAAATATCCACTTTTTTGTGCAGTTCACTAATACAGCTGTACAGCCAGGTTTGCTGCCTCAGAGCCTAGCAAGATTCGTAGTGAGCTCACCCTGGTGCCCGGCACAGCTTCGCAGGCTAGTCATCCTTCCTAGGCTGCGGTGCCATGGCTGCTCTAACAGGACGGGTGGGCAGTCCACTGCTGTGAAGGGTGTTCCAGCCTCCCGAAATGGTTGGCCCTGCACTCCTACCCCCTTCTTTCAGCCGCAGTGCCTGTTCCAGCCTTGACGTCTGCCTATTTCAGGTGTCCGGCAGTGTATAGGCAAACGGTGGGGATTCCCAATACCGCTGAGCTTATCTAACACTTTTCATCCAGCTATACGTGCTCCTGCAATCTGCCTTGCATTGTTTCGGGTGCTTATCTTACTCCTTGGTGAGTCAGTGTAGCACACTAAATGAGTAGAAAAGCACTCAGCAGCAAAATCAGTAGTTTTCTGCCTGGATATCATGGGCAGAACGGGCTTGCCAACAGCCAAAACAAGTGTCAGAAAAGCAACAAGGAAAGTGACTTATGTGACACCATCTTGTTGTTTTAATTCAGGCAGGAAACCCTAGGACAAAACAGAAATAGATGTGACCCTCTTTGAAAAGTTTGTTAGTAATCTTGAAATAATTACTTGAGAGAAAATACATTTCAAGACCAGTGAAGTCTCAAAAGACTTTCATGTCTGTTAGCTACAATAAGGAAGAAAATCCTTCATATATCTGTTTTTTAAAGAATCCATCTTTTGGCTATCAAACCAGTTCTTAAAATGAGCCATGTAGCAGGGTATGATCTTATCCAGAAGAAATACTGTTTCTTTCCTGTAAAAATCTGTTAAGTATTAAGTATTGTGTTACCTCATCTCTAAGTAACCTAAAGTTTGGCATGCACATAGCTCTAAGCAGAAATGATTTTGGTTCAGTCAAATTCAGCCACTGCCTTTGTTTCTCAGTTCTGTTTTTTCAAGAGTTTCTAACGTTGTAATGAATACAGTTTTCTGACAGACTAGATACTTACGATACAGTAGCTAGAGTTATTAAGAACATACTTCCTTAAATATTTATGCGAACTGATGTTGAGCCACTCTTAAGTGCTTGTTAATATAAATTGCCCAAATGATGAGTCAGAGTTTTTACAGTATAGTGCTCTAAATTTAGAAGTCAGGGTACTTCACTGCTTATGATACTCTGGAAATCCAAACCCAACAGTCTGTTAAATTGAAAGTTTCAGCTTTAAATAATTTCAGAGCTACAATCTGTATCTTTATTTTTCTGAGGATGCGAGTTCCTTGGAGAGAAAAAAGATAAAAGGAATATTTAAAACATTAAGTTGTGGGGGTTTTGCCTGGTTTTCCATAAAATTTTTCTTACTTTCCACATATAGTTAGCCACATAATACAGAAATGAGATACTGTGGTGAGAAAATAAAAATGTAACCATTTCTTTTAGAACTGATCAGCAGTCATAGCAGAAAAAAATCACTTCTGATGTATAACTGCAGGGAAGGACAAATATTATTTGGTCCTATTGACTTAATTGTAATTACTCCTTTCTGAACATTTTTGTTTTAATTTTACCTACATAGTAAATTCAAGTTCAATAATGTACTGAGAGGTCTATCAAAATAATTAAACACAATACTTCAGTCAGTGAGGAACTATTTAAGCTTATGACTCAAAATATGATCTCAAAAAACCTCTCTGAATTAGCAAAACATCTTTCTCATTTCATCTTGTATCACTGCAGACCACAGTTAAGTTGTATCTATGAGTACTGATTGCTTGCTTGTGTTTGTAGATGCTAATGTCCACCAACATACTGATTTACCATTTTTACCCTAAATGCTGATTTCTCTACTCTCCCATGTTTAAGAGCATCATTTTTCTATCCTTTCACTGTCAGCTGTGTGCGCCAGAACCTTTATTTCTTCGGAGTGATGCAGCATGTACTAAGAAAAGAGTGGGTCTTTTTTTTTTTTTCCTCCTGGTGTTAGTTACTCTCCCTGAACAGCATAAGCTAAGCTGCCAAAAAAGCACTTGTTAGCATAACAGCATCCACAGTGGGGGTTTACCAAGGTAGCTGTGTTTGGAAAAGGTGGCTTTTTCTTTTCAGATGCCTCTGCCTGGCTTTGTTAAATCAGTCTTCATGTCTGTCTGATACTTGATTACATGCCTCTCCCCCCCCCCCCCCCCCTTCAGAATTATTCCCCCCTTCAGAATTATTTACTTATATAAAACTTATATAGTACTTTTCCTGTATTACTATTCCATGCATATTATTCCTGTTTTGTTGTAGAAATCCATAAATTGCATTTGGTATATGCTGAAACATGTATGTTCAATGCTCATTCTCTTTTGTCTTCTCCCTTTCCCATCCTCAAAATAGCACGCAAGTCTTGTTGTATGTCTTGGAGAGCCTGATATAAATATGGAGCCAAATATAAATACGGATTTATGTTTTACGTTTCTTACATTTACCTATTAGTTTCTGATAATTCTTTCCCATTTGGGTACTTTGCTGTGGAAAGAGATCTCTTGCTCACACCGAGTTGACTGATTTGATGCACAAAGTTAAAGGAGAGCCCAGAAGTCTCTTTGAATGTCAGTCGTTCAGCCTCTACACCATTGCAAAGAACGTCAAATATAAATGCTTGGCTCTGCTGTGTATAACCATAGTAACAAGTGATACAGCATAGAGATTGCATGGAAAAACAATTCTGTGATTTTTGGGGTTTGTTGTTTTTTAAGTTCTGCAGTGGAAAGTACTATGATAGTGTGACTCAAACACTGTGCCAAGTCTTGACTTTGCCACCTATCTGATGAATGTCCTTAGAGATGCCACGCTCCCTCTGCACCACAGATTTTCCATCTGTAAAATGGCAACTGCTTCTCTGCTGTAAAGCACCTTGAGAAAGATTGATATAAAGTGCTATATAAGGGAGTAGGTGGTACTATTAAGGCATGTTGCATATATTAATGCCCGTGTTTAGGATTATTTGCAAGGTAGTCCTTACATTTATTTGTAAACTCTTGAGCGCTGGCTGAAAACTGAAATTTTAACACCCTTTTTTGACTTGATAATTGTGGGAAATGGAGTTTTTCATTCAATTTCCTGTTTGGGGAATTCCTTTAGTTTGTGGTAGAACACTGGGTAGTACAGTTTTGAGGTGGGAGGGAGGAGGTGATCCATTTTTTTGCCCTTGAGAAGGAACCTAGGCAGAAATGTTTGGTCTTGGGAACAGTTTAAAGTCTTGGGCTAAAAAATCAAAAGAAAACACCTCACTTTTAAATTGCAGTAGGAGATTAGCAGAGCATTTCTTTGCTGATACTTGGAAATTATAGAAAAGATGATGAAGGTATAGCAGTTCCACCACATGTGTCCTTCCCCACAAAAGCCTACATAAAAACTGGTTCTACATCAAGATTTTTTTTCTCTGAAAGTTATGGTTGGCAGAAATACTAGCCTCTCCTTTCTGCTAGCAGAAAACATCGGATTTATCTAACCTCTGCATTTAATAGTGATGTATGAGAAAAAAAACACTGTTTAAAAATAATGCTGACACATATAGCCAAAGAGATGTTCATGTTAGATTATTGGTATGAATATTTTCATTTGCAATACGTTTGACGTGTGTGTACACTTTCACGTTGGCAGCTCAGGAATAATCACTGAAAGAAAAGGACTATTTTGAGCTACTTATTAACAGAATGAATTTTGGAGGACTTTTATAACATTATGGCGTATCAAGCAGAGACTGGGATCGTCACAACTATGTCAGGAAGAGGCATGGGTGGAAAAAAAATCACACCCCTTGTTAACATGCAAAGTGCATGAGCGTTTCATTCTAACTCACGTACAGTATGCAGAGGACATTGATGTCTTGCTTTTTCTGACTGGTACGTTTGAACTGGTGTACTTGTCAAGGCAGGAGTCTCTTAATTCCTTTCACGTCATGGAGAATTCATAGCAAGAGTAGGGTGGTAATGGGACGTGCATTTAAAATTAAGTGTCCAATATTATTAGCAGTGGGTAGTATTTTACAAGGACCTTACAGTTTTCAGTCCTTTGTGTATTTGCTGGGGTTCTGTCCCAAATGTCTTGTTGGACATTTAAGCCTTGTGTTAAAGACTGGGTAAGCAAAAATGCTTACAGCTTTGTATGGAGTTACTCTACTTGGAACTAGAGCATTTTTCAGAGGAGTGGTCATACTTGTGCTCTTGGTCAGTTGTGTATGTGATGGCTTTTTTACACACGGATTAGGCCCTTGAATGGGACACAGTTATAAAGATGAGTAATGCATTTGCAAAAAAGATGCAAAACAGTGTGAAAGGTTAATTTGACATCATCTTAAAATAAAGTTTTGTTCTTGGTTTGGTTTTATACAGAGGTGTAATCTTAAAGAATTATATGTCTTCGTCTTCTTTCCTCCCATACAAAAAAATGTGGATCAAAACATTTTAGGGTTTTTGTGGTTTTTTTCTAATAAACTGGAAAAAAACTGTCACTATCTGAGCTGGATGTTCAGTTCATGTCCCAGTATGGAAAAAGCTATAGCTTCTTGACAGTTTGAAATTTTAAAAAGAAGACAGCTAATAGAACTGCATACATTGAGTACTTGTGTAAGTACTGTAAAGCAGTAACTGTTCTAAAAATATCATTATTTTTGTGGTAGAGTTCCCTAAGTCAGCAGCTATTTTGCCCCTAAAATTAGGGAAGCCACAGTTATTTTCCACAAAATGTATGCTAGCCAAAGTGATAACATACAAGAGAAACCTAATTGATGCCAGTGACCATGAAAAGTTGTTTGTTTTCTTTAAAGGAGCTCATTATATGTTAAATTCAGCAGTATTGTGAATCACAAGCTGGTCAGCAATGTAATCTGCTACCATTTTTAAAGATGGCTTTAAAAATCGTCTGAATTTCAGGCTGTTGACTTCTGGAAGCTTTAGCTCTTGGAGAGGCACTGAATATTTTTACTATTTGAATGTCCAGCCCTCCAGGAACTGAACATCCACTTTTTCAGACTCTGGCTTTATTTCCTCTTGTGCACATTTTTTCTAGGGGGTTAATTTGAAGTCGGCTTAAAAAATTTACACCGTGTTATAAATGTTTTTAAAATAGCAAAGAAAGAGAAGTGTGGAAGAAAAAACACTCACACTGTCCAACCAAAAAAACCCAAAACCAACCAACCAAACCAAACAAAACACCACCACCACCCCAAAACAAAAAAACCCAAAGCAACAACAACAAAAAAAACAGCCTGTCCTTGATTATTGTGAAAATATATCCTGGATTTTTCTCTCAAATACAAGATGTTGATGTAAAATATCTGGACAGGGATTCACTGAAAGAACCCTGGTAAACACCAATATAGTCACTTTTCATTTTTTAGTGAATGGTTTGTTGATATTATAGCTTGTCATAAATTCCTTTCCAGAGTAGAGAAGTTAACCACTGAAAATACACCACCTCGAGAAGCAAATAATATTTCAAACCATCGGGTGCTAATTAAGCCAGAGGCACAAAATAACCAGAAAAACAAAGAAGTGATCAAAAATGAGGAGAAGAAAGCTTTGGAAGCCGAAAAATATGGATTCCAGAAAGTTGGGCACGATAAACCGCTAACGAAAATTAACAGTGTAAAGCTAAATCCTTTGGGATCCGAATACAGGACTTTACCCATAACTACGATTCAGGCTGGACACTTCAGACCAGTTCATCTAAATGGGTCTGAGAATAAAGCTGTTGGTGGTGTTCTGGCAGATGCTGGAGATGGAGGTCAGCACAATGTGGTTCAGTCACATATGGAGTCTGAGAGAGCTATGCAGAGAACTAATTCAATGCTGCAGTTGGAACAGTGGATTAAAATGCAAAGAGGAAAAGGACAAGAAGAGGAAACAAGAGGGTAAGTACTATGTAATAATTTTTTTAAATTTTTTTTGCTAGGCTTTCCAGCAAATAATACTTGTATCCTGGTTAGATTCTATAGTTTTTGGTCTATATTACATAAATATATAATTCATTGCTCTCTGTAAGAAGTGCCTGAATGACTGCTCAGAACAGATTTATTAAAGTTCGTCTTTTATTAACATTTGAGTGATTATTAATAAATTAAACTATATTAATAACTCAGTAAATAAAAATGGCCAGAAACCCTTTTTGGGTGTTAGAAATTTCTCTATCCTAGCAGAGAAAAGGTGTCATGAATCATAACAATTCTTTTTCCTCTAAAAATCTGGTTTTGAAATTGCCCTGTCTTCTGCATTTTTGTTCACAAATTCTTGTAATATTTTATTTAAAATTCTTCAAAAATATTTCAGGGAGCTTTTAAACTTTAAACAATCTTTAATTGGGGAGAGAGAGAGAGAGAGAAGCTTTTCCTAAGAGTAAGTCATAGAAATCTAACTAACTTGATGCTTAAAGCTTCTCTTCTCATTAAATTAAACATCTCCCAGTTCTAATACTGAGTTCCAGTGCTTATTCATGAAGCTTTAAAATTATGTGTGAATGATATTGAATCTTGTGCCGATAGCAATTTTTCTATCTGACAGAAATGTGGGGACATTGCTTCCAGGCTGGCGTACAGACAAGTAGCTCCAGCAGTAAAATATAAAAGTTTTTAATATTACATTAGATAGGAAGTTATGGAGATGTTATCACATGAGATGTTTTGAAGAGTTGGAAATTAGGGAGTTTGCGTATAGATGGATGGCAGAGCAGAGCTTAAGATAGGAGCAAGTTCAGAAAATGTGTTTTCTGTACACTTCAAAATATGGGGGTTGGGGGCTTTTCACTTTTTGCAAAAACTTGAAAAATTTGCATTAGTTTGACTTACATTTGCCAAAATCGGTTGAACATTTCCTCATTGCCTTTCGTCCTTCATTAAATATAATTAGGAATTGCTAATGTGTTGTTTCATGAAGTACTCAACCTAAGTAGTTTGATCAAGTTTGAACTTGCAGTACAGAGAGCAACTTGCACACTCTGACATTTATTTTATTATGGATGCTTGTGTAATGAGAACTGAGAAGGCTCTTTGATGCAATTAGATTTTTTAAATTGGACTGTAAAACTTGAAACCAAACAGGAGAAATTTGAATAGCTGTGCCATTTTTCAGTTGCGAACAAGTATATAAACCCTAAAACAAGTTTGAACTTGCAGTACAGAGAGCAACTTGCACACTCTGACATTTATTTTATTATGGATGCTTGTGTAATGAGAACTGAGAAGGCTCTTTGATGCAATTAGATTTTTTAAATTGGACTGTAAAACTTGAAACCAAACAGGAGAAATTTGAATAGCTGTGCCATTTTTCAGTTGCGAACAAGTATATAAACCCTAAAACTGATTTCATTGTGGGAATCAAATAGAGGGAAGTACTGTTAACAATATGTCACTAATTAACTATTTTATTCTTGACTATAGAGATCACTTGTTGCTTAAATAAGGGTGGCACTGATAGCACAAACGGTATGCTTTCAACTGCAGTTCAACATAAAGGTAGCAAATGGAAAAAGAATTGGCCTTGAGCTATCTTTTTTGCTTTGTGTGAGGTGGCCTTGAATAATGATCCAAATTTCTAATGTATAGTGGTGTCTTTAGAATGTGGTTTCATTTAAATTTTAAATTTTATTTTTGTTCAGATTGCCAGTTTCTGGCTGGAGACAGAAATTTAAGTAGAATTGAAGTTGGTGAATGAGAGTAGAAAGAAGCTCCAGTTTATGTTAAAGCTTAAGGTTGGGGTAAGGGGCTAGTAAGGCTGTTTGTAGTAAGACCTGTTCAACTCATAACTTGAATTTTTGAGAAAAGTAGTCTTCACTTAATGGGGAGAAGTTTCTGACTTCTAACAAAGATGCTTTCCATTGCATCTGTACCTCTAATCTGTTAGAGAAATCATGGAGTACCAAACTGAATAACTCTGGTGTGTCAGACTGAAAAACAAAAATAGGACTTCAAGAATACTAAAATGTTAACGAACAGGTTCAATTAAATAACTATATATAAAATAGGAGCTGTTAGCGGTCCTCAGTATGGAATGAAAAGGGTTCACTGTAAAACTACTGATTTTTTTTATAGGAACATGCTGACCCCTTAGTAGTTTGATTTCTTGAGAAATTAATGAGAATTACGTCAATTCAGTTTTTAATTCTTGAAGCTGTTTTCTGCCATTTCCGTGGATCTAGACATCTAGTTTTGCAAGAGCCACACAAATAAAGACAACTGATGCCTTGAGGAAGACAAACCTTTTTTTTCAAAACCAAAAAATAAATGTTTTTTAAATAAAAACATTCTACTTCAGTATCATTTTATTAAATTAATTTTGCACAAGTCAGTTACAAGTAAATATTTTCACCAAAAGTGGTTCACTTGAGTGGTCTTTCTCAAATGTGAAAAAATACAGAAGGGTTGCATGGTACTAGGTGAGGTTTTTTGTTGCTGCTAACCCAGGGTGTGAGCCTCTGTCTCCCCCCACCTTGCCCATATAAGCCTCATCCTAAATAATAAATGCCTGCTGTACAGCACCAGGTTTCCATCTTCACTCTGCCACCCTTTGCTTGATTCACGCGTGAAAGTTCTGTATTCTGGGCCAGCTGATGTTTGCGTTCTTTAGGGTGAAGGCCTATTTTGAGGTTTCCATCTGAGGGTATTCATAACATTGCCAAACTGAGCCCCTAAAGGTTTAGCAGCAAAGTCGCCTTCCCAAATAGTCCAACTTGGACACCGGAACCAGTATTGCTACCCAACAGTAATCTTAGAGACAACCTCTAAAGGTACCTATAAGGAGTCTATAAACTCATGTGGAAGCCTTTTTTTTTTCATATGGGAACATTCGTAGGGAGCTATTTATCTTCCTAAATGTTCTAGAATATAAGTAATTGCATGCAGACTTTAAATTGCTATCTTTACATAGTAAGAACTTCAGACAGCTTTTCTTCAAGTTGTCTGTGATATTTAAAGGAGCCAACAGGATCACACTGCTCATTTAATTAATAAAATGGGAGAGGAGCTTCAGTGAGTGAGGTGTATCTAGCTACCAGATATCTTCATGAAAATATCAGGCTTCACCATACCCGTTTGTGAATAGCTAAAATAATATTTTGAAAATTAAAATTTGAACTCAAAGGTGTCTTGGTTGTTTGTTTTTTAAATATGGAGATGGAGAAAAAGCCCTTATCATTAATGGTATATTACATGAAGAAATTTAGAGGTATTTAAGTGGGTTTTGCAGCAAAAGAATAGGATTTAGAATCCATTTCCCTTTTTTATATTTTTTTTTTTTGTGAGAATGGAAAGCCATCCAATCTACAAAATGGGAATAATACTTCATTAATTCTTGGAAAGTTTCAGAAACTGTAGCAGATTTTGTATGTGAAGTTCTTTATAGAAGTTTTCATCTCCAAAATGTTACAGGTGGTCATAAATACTCAGCTTAACTATTTTAAGTGACAAGTGGGTTTTACCGTCATCAATTCCCTTGGTAGTTATTCCAGAAGGATCTAACATGCATAATGCTGGTTTACTTTGCCATTTGCCCTACATCATTTCTTTAATGTTTTTGTGGCACTGAAGTCATTCAAAACCATCTTCAGATTCTGGTGCCTCATGGCAGGGATTTTATTGAATTAGTCTGGGGCGTAGCTAGAAGCTGCTGCCCTCTGATGGCTGAATCATGTCCAATTTGAGATCAGTTTTGTTGTCTCTGGGCAAGCATCTATCATAGATGTGATCAGTAGCAAAAGTCTTTAAGAGGTGCTCATCTGAATTTTAGATAAGGGTTGAATGAATCAATATTTGTGACCTAGATTTTGTCCTCTGAAAAAACAAGGAATGCTTTGTCATACTTAGGCATGTGTTGATACTCGGTATGGAAAATTTTGCATTTCAGCTAATGCTGAAAGTTGATAAATGACTGTAGCAGTCCAGAATTTTAATGTGGCAACAAATTAAAGAATAAGCCTTTGAATTCATATCTGAGTTGCAAAGCAATGCAATACTATTACCAAACAAATATTTTGCTATTTGTTTCGCTTGAATAGCTGATATGGAATGGCTTGTCCTTGACAATTGCAAAATATAATTTCATTAGACAATTACTGCTATTTTTCGTAGGTCTGCAGTTAAAAAAATCATAATTTTTTTTTATGTCCATAGTAATTGCTCGAGATTTTCTTAGGGAAACTACAGGAGACTTTTTCACTTTTGAAAAAGAGAACATTTAAAATGGGCTCATATGGAAACAGTATAGAACTTCAAAGCTTTCAAAACTTTGACCTATCCAGCATATAGACAGGTTACAAGATTTGATCTAAACTTGACACTACTAGACTGTTAAACTGGTAAAAAGATGAAATGTGGATTATATAATCAAGCAGCTAATCAGAGAGAGGATCCAGTTTCGGCTGCTACAGTGCATTCAATCAGTATAGTTGATTCTTTAATTGTCATCTTGATTTTCTTGCATGTTTTTAAAATGACACTTGTAGTATTAAAAAAAAAAAGCTAATAGCTAGATAAACCTAACCAATATTGAAAAACTTTATATTGCCATAATAGTAATGCTGTCCACTAATAAAAAGAAAATTTGTGTTTCAGCATAATCTCATATCAGACGTTACCAAGAAACATGCCAAGCCATCGACCTCAAGTTTTACCCCGGTACCCAGAAGGCTACAGAACACTGCCAAGAAACAGCAAAGCACGGCCGGAGAGCCTCTGCAGCGTAACGCCGTCGGCTTACGACCGAGCTATAGGACCAGTAACAGCCGAAGAAAAACGGAGGTCAATGCGCGATGACACGATGTGGCAGCTCTATGAATGGCAGCAACGTCAGTTTTACAATAAGCAAACAACTCTTACTAGACACAGTACTTTAAGTAGCCCAAAAACTATGATTAATATTTCTGATCAGACGATGCATTCGATTCCCACCTCACCTTCTCATGGTTCAATCGCTGGTTTCCAAGGGTATTCCCCACAGCGGACCTACAGATCAGAAGTGTCTTCACCAGTGCAAAGGGGAGATGTAACTATTGATCGCAGACACAGGACGCATCATACTAAGGTGTAAAAATACTTATTTTAATAGTTAAAAATCTTGTTTACAAGGAATTCTAGTAGAAAGTATATGGTTGCCATAAAACTGTTGCACTGTAGTATATTTTATTATATATATTTTATATATATAATGAAGATTAAGTTATTTCTAATACACTAGGTGAAAACACGTTGTCCTCATTTTACTGTCCATGATATTATGTTTATCTAAAGGAAAGAAAAGAAGTCAATAGGAAAATTATTCAGAATAGTTTGTTTTATGTACAGAAATCTCTCTCCTTTCTAGCTTTTTTAGCTGGAACTCTAAGAGGACTGAAAATCCCACATTTCTTTCCATGTGCTGTTTTCTGTTTTTCAGCCACAAGTTTGGCTGCCTTGGGTTCCAGCAGAAAACTGAGTGTAGTTGTTTCTTTTGATGCCTTTGAGTTACTAGGGAGATCACTAAAGATCAGAATCTATTTGCACACAACCTTAGCACTTGACTAGTGTAACTTCACTGGTCTTCATCAGTGAGAGGGAGACACGAAGAATTGTGAACCTGGGTTGCTGTATGTGGCTCTGCTATATCCATCTTGCTTGTATTGTGCATGTTTTTTAATAGATTGGAGCTAATTACATAAAAATTACTCTTTCAGTTGGATATAAAACTAGAGTTAGTATAAAATACTCCTGATCATTTTTCCTAAATCTTTATTTCAGGTGTCTTTAAGTTTCTTGATGCAGGAAAAAAAATCTTTAACTACATCTTAAAGCAGTTTAAACAACTTATAGTTGATTACTAAGTCTTGGTTTTGGAAGTTTTTAGGTCTTCATCAGCAAAGGAGTCATTTTGTTTTGACATCCTTTATGTCTCAGCTGCACTGGAAATTTGGTAATCAGTGCTTCTCACAAATCTGAGAAATACCAGTAGAGTCAGTACTGCAGAGCATGTGCTTACTTGTCCTTTCAGCCATGTTTTCCTTTCTCATATTTTTTTCCTTGTGGAACACTTTATGCTAGTATTTAATTTCATATTTAGCATCTTCTATACAAGATTCTTATTTACCTTCAGTTTTTCATGCTATTTGGTTTGTGGGGGTTTTTTAGTTACACAAGTAGCTTTTTCGATTAACTCAGAAACACAAACCTGTTTTTAAGATGTGGTAATTAGAAGACTGTTTGAAATCAGTAGGGTAAATTTAAGATTTAAACTCCATCTATATAGAGATCTTAGGTTTTTAATCAGCTTTCAGTGATGGGTGAAAAACTAAAATTGTTGTTGTTTATGTGGGCTATGATTAGGGCAACAGCTGTGAGGGAGGACTGTTAATTAAATGAATGATGAAAGCTGGGTTATTTCTAGAAGTTAGAGGTAGCCTACTCAAGTGTCCTAGATCGTAGATCAGCAGGAAGCATGGCTGGCCAAAGCTGGCACAGATCATAGCAAATTTGTCATGAGAGTGAAGTTGGCTTGACTTTTTTTTTTTAGCATTTAATAGTTGTTGAGTCTTTAACTATGGATCGTACTGTGCTATTTTGTTTTTGTACAGCATGTCTTTGTGCCCGACAGAAGGTCAATGCCAGCAGGTCTGAGTTTACAGCCTGTTACTCCTCAGAGCCTCCAAGGCAAAACAGTGAGTTGGATTTTTATTTGGTACATGAGTATTTTCTTACGAATAATTCTTTAAGTATGAAGAGGCAACACTGAAGTCTTATTCTATTCAAAGCTTATTTTCTTATTCTATTAAATGTAGACTTTATTTAAATTATCAGGGATTTTTAAGGCAAATAAAGTAGTACTCTGTGGTTACACTGAATTCTGAGAATATTCTGTAGCTGCTGACTCCAGATTTTCTTTGAGAAATACAGATTTTTATTTTTTTTTAATCATCTTTGATACATTACAGAAATTCCTGGGAGAGGGTAGAATACATCACAGAATGCTTATTTCTCCATTAAGAATTTAGAAAATCCTAGAAGTAGCGTTTACCTTTTTTGGAAATCTTAAGGATACTGCATATGTCAAAATGATGTCCTTTCTGACATCTCCCATTTTTCTATGATAGAGCTGAAACTCTCATTGAAGGTATTTCATTAAAGTAATATTGGTGAATGCTGTCCACCTTCCTAATTGAAACATGACTCTTAGCCAAAAGCTAAGAAATTGTCCTAAATTTACTACATTTATTTACCAGTTTTTCTCTCCTTTCCATAATCTTTCTCTGCCCATCTAAAATTACTGTTTGAGACAGTTACGAATTGAGAATACAGATTTTGAATCATACTGTGGGCAACAGGTCTCCAGTCAATCCTTCCACTGCCTCGACACCTGTTTCTTGCACTTCCCAGCATGAATCCCTGGCACCTTCAGCAACTTACAGGTTGGCCTTTGGCAGCTGGCGCCTTATCCCTGCACCTTGTCTTCCACAGACGTTTCTTTGGGTTCATGGTCCCATCAGCTCTCCTGGGCTCTGCTGCTGGAGCTGGGCCAATGAGCGGGGTAGGGGGCAAGGAGGTCCAAGCTTCTACCTGTAGAAACCAGAAGTCCTGCCCACAGCACCAGTGTTGCAGGGGCCAGAGGAGGAAACCTGTGGGTAGTTCTTTAAACAAAATTCTGTGTTGTGGTTGTTGAAGAGTCCCGAGAGCGGTATCAAAAGCACAGCACTTACAGCAACATCAAAGATGTTTGCAACATTATGAATGTCTAGAGAGAAGTAGGAATTACTGTTCGATGGGCTCCTCTATGGAAAAAAGTCTGCTTGCAAACATTGGCTTTAAGTACCATTAAATAGTTTATTCCTAATGCACTAAAATCGGGCTTTTGCAGAACATACCGAGAAGAGTTTTGATCTTGAAAAAGTGATTCACTGTTCCTTTTGTTTGAAGATGCTACTTTCAATTCTCTTATTTCTAAAAATAAGTTTTCTTGTGCTTTGAAATGATGTTAATTTTCAGACTGAAAGCATTGTCACTGATTTTTGGAGAGAACTTGAAAATGTCTTGTATAGCAGTCTAGATTCTTACACTTACTCTCTGAAATTAAGTATTTTAAATCCAGGTATTGAAAGAGTACTATAAGAGGAAGACTGGCCATTAGACAATTTGGCTTTGGCATTGGTTTTCTCTCAAAGCAAATGGTTTTGACAACTGAAGCTATGTGGAAATCCCTTGCTCCCTCTTGTGGGCTACTTTGGTACGAGCTCACAACGGTGCCAGTGCCACGCTTATTCTCAGGGATTTTTCTTCTTTATTCTAAGAAACTGGTATTTGTTTTTCAGTAATTTAATCTGTGGTTCTCTGGAGCTTTTTTCTTTACTTCTTTGCTTTGGAAAAATTCTGTGACTGTGGGAGAGAGCAAGTGGGGTTTTCGGGTTGTTTGGGTTTGTTTTGGTTTGTTTAACTCACAGAACTTGTGAGAAAATCAAAATGCTGGGTGAATATTTAACCTCTTACAAGATTGACTTCTGGAGAAGTGTAAGAAACAGAAGCAAACAGGAACATAATAAAAATACTTGTGATGTTAAGTGTTTTGTTTTCTTTGAAGTATAGCTAATAGAAGTGGTTTCCAGGAATGGTTCTGGTAGAGTTTCCCCGAACTGACCTAAACTGAACTGTGTGGAATTACCTGACAAATACCCATTTGAGTGTGACCTTATTTCCATTATGTATATAATCTTGGGTTTTAAATACTATCCTTCATCCCTTCCTAAGGCTGTATTGTACATCTTAGTCATAAAAGTAAAGCAATAAATTAACTGGTAGCCTCAGAGCTGTGGAAGGTGGGACAGAAAATTATTTTTGTCATGCTTGTGCAGTTTTATTTTGTGAAAGGTGATTGTTTCTGATGTAGTTCAGTTATTGGGGTTTTTTATTTTTACTCTTAATTTTGACACATACATTTGAAGAATTATTTTGGAAACTAAATTCTCTTGAGGGCATTTTTTGATTCTTTCACCAAGCTCAAATGGCTGTCCATGTACAGGTAATGATATCCAAAGGGCTGAAATTATCTTCCCCTTCACTTAAGTCAATATCATCAATTTGATATGCATATCAGAAAGTCTGAGACTTTCTCCTGCAAAATCCTCACTTATTTTTTGTCCTTTATACAGAATGTTCCACTTTTATGGCATTTGCAGTGTCAATTGTTTTGAGTAGTTAAAGGTTAACCCTTCATTATATATTTGAAAGTGGTCAATTTGGGGAAAAACGGTTTATCTTTTGTTGTATCACTATAGAAAGTTTTTGTAAGAAAGATACTAAGAACCCTTATTTTAATTAAGTGTTTTTTAGGATACCAATTAACCTTTTTTCTACTCTTTGGCTTCTCACACTGCACTCCTTCAGCCAGAGGAGCTCACGCTGCTGCTAATAAAGCTGAGACGGCAGCAAGCTGAACTGAGTAGTATCCGGGAACACACACTAGCACAGCTCATGCAGCTAAAACTTGAGGCCAGCAGCCCAAAGGTCAGCTATAAAGCAATGTGTGTCATGTACCATTCTCACTAACTTGTAGTCATTTATTAATCAAAGTTTGCATTGTACCATTAGTGCAAAATTTTCTGACTACTATGGGAGTAGAATAGAGAAACATTGGTTCTTTGTGTATGTGATGTTCTGCTATTAACCCTTTGAGGCTTTACTCATAGCTTTTTTTATATTAGCTGAGTCAAAATTACGTAGGAATATTTTAAAATATATTGTAGTTAAGTTTAAAGTCAAAGGTTTTTAACCTATTGTTATAATCAAAATTAGTTGTGATAGATCATGAGATTAATTTATTGTATATACTGCCTCATATCAGATACAATCTTATTTGTAATCTGTGTACGAAAATCGGGACATGTTTAAAACACAGATTTATCAAAGGGTTTATAGTTGTCTGTGTCGTAGACATTTACATCAGCTTACTGTATTTTATATGTAAAACCAAATGTAATGTAGTAGTTCGTAGTCTGATTCGTGGCGAACTTTCATCAGTTCTGTTTTGGGATCAAAACTTGTTAACAGTTCACCAAAAAAAAGCAGATAAAAACAGCATTATATTTCTACATAAAACAGAAAGATCACTGTCTAGTTTACATCTTTTAAAGCTCTTTTCATGCATTCTGCACCTTCTGTCCCTTTCCTTTTTCCCCCTGACTGCTGCCTGCTAGAATGAGATTCTTTCACATCACCTTCAAAGGAATGCCATATATTTGGATCATCAGGTGGGATTTGCAATTTTCTTGTGTGTTTACATTTCTTAATGCTTTTTGCCTGCTCCTATCAAGCTGGAAATATTTGGGGAGAAGGATTTTCAGTGCTTTTTATGAAGCTGAATATTTAATATGTGCCCTTTTTAAGTAGCACAGAATGTCTTAATCGATTACAAATTTGACATGTAATGGAAAAAAAACCCTCAATTTAAAAATCGTCAG